TTATATAAATATGATGTCATTTAAGAGACCTGAATATCCATGGTTTTGGTACACATGGAGTCGAGCTAGAACCAAATCCCGCATATACCAAAGGACGACTACACTTTGTGTAGGCTGTGACCTTTGAGAGCAAGTCTGGCCATTTCCTGTGTGGCTTACTATTACTACCATCTTCCAATATTTTCTTGAAAAGTACCTGAATTGTCCAGCCAAAGGAAATGCAAGCCCTCTTACAGAATTGATCAATAAAATTCAAATATGCCAAAAACGACCACAATAAAAGACATGATTGCTTAAGGGCAGGTGTACCCTCTGAGAGGGTCAGCTTTCTTCCTTGATGGATACAGTGAAAATATCCTTTCATTGTGTGAACAAAAAGGCACTGTATTTATTGACCGTTTAGGTCATGTTGCTCGCTATGCTTCTAAATTATAGTTTTAAACTGACAAGGATCTGGGCATGTCGCTGAGGGAATTCAGCTTTTGTTTTTCCTTACTACATTTTCCACCATTATAAAATGTAATTCCCATTTTAAAAATACTCAAAGTATAAACTTTAACTGGAAAGATATTGGAGGGCCTTCCTCTCTCTCTCTCTAATTTATGCCTGAACAGCACAATATTCATTAACTGAGTTTATTCCGACCCTGGAGGGAGAGAACAAAAAGCAGCCACTGTAATTTTGTGTTGTTTCTCTTTCCGTTATTCAGCCCACATCTTCAGAATTATACTAATCCCCAGAAAGACTCCCGAAGCCTCACTGTTACCCTGGAGGCAAGTGGTACAAGATTTGTAATATTTGTAATTATCTTTCAGACTCCGTGATCCTCCAAGTTATCACTTCATTATTACTCTTCTTCTGAAAGTGAATTCATTATTTCTTTTTTATGATACCATGGCCAATTTGAAAGTTGGGTTCAGTATCTCAAATTTTTAACTAATGGTGATGTGCTAACTGGTTCTTTCCATCTTTCCCTCGAACCACATTCACTCACTCGTCTGTCCCTGGGCACTGATGCAAATTTCCCAGGCTTTAGTCCCAGTGGAGAAGTCTGGTTAGGTCCCAGGATCAGGTATGGGAAAGAGAAGAGAGCAATCAACCAGAAACTTTGGTTCTGATTCAAGTCACTTGACCTTTCTGAGACTTAGTTTTTTAAGAGGCTGGATTTTTTTTCACTGAATACTAAGAGTTCATGCAAGTACTAATCAGGCTAATACCAAACTAGGCCTTATTGCTGATCAGCTATTATTATTTTTTGTTTTTAAAATTTTTTATTTTTATTTTATGTGTATGAGTATATTGCCTGCATGTATGTGAGTGCACCCGTGTCGTGCAATGATGAGGAGGTCAGAAGAGGGCTTCAGATTCCCCTGGTACTAGAGTTAAGGATGGTTCATAGCCACCATGTCGGTGCTGGGAATCAAACCCGGGTCCTCTGCAAGAGCAGTCAGTGCTCTTAACCGCTGAGCCATCTCTCCAGCCCCTACATGCTTTTTAATAATCCAAGTGCTAATTAGTATTCAATGGAATAGGGGAGAGAGGCATAGTAATAAATGGATAATTTTGATTGATTAATAATATGGTGAGCACTAAGCCTTTCAAAAGAAGCAACGGGAGCCACAGAGGCATGGCATGAGCCGCAAGTTTCTTTAAATGCCTCAAAGATCTACTGAACTGCCTCCATGTGCTCTGATGAGATAAAGCTGCTTGAATAAAATGTCTAGTATATTTCTGGATCCTGGAACAATTCCAACTTTGTGGGACAAGCTTGGTTCTGTTCTGCTGGTCTAGAACCCTAGGTGGTAACTACAGCCATAGCTAGCAGTTCTGGCATCTGTAATAAACAGCCTGAGACAAACCCTGAAATCAGTGCTTGAATTCAGAGCTGCAGCTCAAAGATGGCTGTTACTAACAATGTGTACCATCTGGTGTCTTTCTATTTTAACCATTCATTTTTGCTAACTGACAGAGCTTTTAAAATTATTATTTTAAATTTATGTGACCTCTAAATGTCCATGACCTGAAACAAAAAGCCCTGGTCATCCTGCCCTCATTATAGTCTTGACTTTTATTTACAATGGGAAAATCTGTTGTTATTTAAGAGCAATTTGTTGTCCTTTACAGTTTAAAAATGTCTAGGTTTATGAAATAAAAATTAGCCAAAAAAAAGAGGAAAAACAAAAAAAAGGGAAAAGGGTTCTATGCAGCACTATCAGTTGGTAAGTGTTGCAAGCTCCAATTTTGTATTTTTCAACATCCTGCCTGCAGCCCTCTGTGCCTGGCACATAGTGGGCACTTGATAAAAATGTAACTGGAGGCCTGCCCATAGACAGCCCCATTGTGGTGATCCAGTTTAGTTGCTAATATGCTGCCAAAAGACGAGGCGGATGTCCAAAATCTAGGACAAACTCCAGAATGTATTTGTCAGTTGTGAGGACAGAGTCCTCAGCTAATTTGAGTTTTCTTCACTTGGTCCAAAGCTCTGTCTTGTGGATTCGAACCTCCTGGGACATACTCAGGCATCGCTGTCCTACATCATGTATAAGACATGCCTGCAGTTTCTGATTATATCTTCTGTATTATAAATGCTGTTTCTTGATTGTTTCTTTTCATTTTTGTTGACAATCCCTGTAGGAGTAGCTTTTTATCTTCTTTCAAGAAACAATATCTACAGCAAGGCTACCTCAGAAGGCCAGAACAGCCAACAGTGCCCTAAGTGACTACTGGGAAAACTTGGGCAGTCTCAATAATACCCTGCTTCCTTTCATTATCCTTATAACTGTGAAAAAAGTCAGAAGAAGCTGCAGATACTCATATCTCAAGATAGAATTCCCTGTTCCTCTTCCTCCTTTCTTGCTCCTTCGCTTCCTCCTCTTCCTTTTACACAAACTCTTTCCTCTTTCTGCCCTAGTTCACTTTATGAGGCTTCTCTGTGTCCTATCTACTGTTTCTAGGCTTGTAGCATTTGTATTAGATACACTCCTATTCCCCTTTCCCTAGACAATGTCAACTACCTTATTCATTCAAAGTAGAAAAGGGAAAGAACATATTTTGAACTTAGAAAATTGAAAATTGCATGGCTAAGAAACTTTTATTTCTAAAATGAAGCCAGACATCAACAGTCGATCTAGAATTATGAATTTGTAACTTAAAAGGTATAATGAAAAAGTTAATAGCTCAGAGTCTTATGTGGGTATGTGCTTCAGGGCCTTGAGAATGCTAAGTATTCCCCAGGCCCATTTAATTTAATTTTAAACTACTACACTTGAAAATAGTACTACATTCAAAAGGTTAGTAGATTTCAACAACTGCCTACAAAGATAAATATTCTGTTAACATCATTTTATGCACAGTAGACTAAAGAATAAAATTTTAGTAGAGAACATGCATTATTACTAGCCAGTAATAGAGAGCCTATCTCAGCTACCAATGAGCAAAGGACATGAATAAATAATTGCAAAAGAAGAAATACAAATGTGTGTGAACAACATTACTAGCAATAAAACCAGTTCAGACTTCACTTTTTTTAAAAATTTGCAAAAAAAGTTGGAAATATAATGCCTCAGGGAGGGTGAGGAAAATGACTAGCCATGTTCTAATGAAATTATGATTTGGGTGGGACACTGAGGGTTACTTATCAGTACTTATCAGAATACTTATTAAGATGGCTCAGTGGTTAAGAGCACTTGCTCTTCTTGCAGAGGACCCAGGTTTAGTCCCAACACACTCATTGGGCAGCTAACAACCTCCTGTGATTCCAAGGGATCCAACTTCCTCTTCTGGACTCCATGGGCACTGCACACATTTGTTAAACTTACAGACCAGAAGACACACACACATACACACACACACACACACACAAATAATTGTTTTATAGATACATTTTTTTTAAAAAGAAGCACTTATTATCCAATCCATCAAAGTTACTTCTTTCATCAAATATTCTAGAAAACTACACTGTGTCCTTCCAGTTACTAGAAACTGAATTTCATTGCCAGGGACTAAGTGTATGTAACAGAAACAGTCACATAACTGAATGATCCTTTATAAGGGCACTACTAAATCATTATGATAATGAAAATCTGAAAGCAGTTTACATGAGTAAACTATGATGCTTCATGTGGTAAGATGATTGACAGCTACTAAATGGCAGGGTCAAAATGTCCGAGCGAAAGGGCTGATAACAGATAAGTATGTAACCAACCCCAGTGCTGTTCAAAATACAAATGTGCAGAAAAATATTCTAGAATTTTCAAATAAGGCATTGTTTGATCATGGGTCATTAGAGCTGTTCTTAATGTACTTTATATTTCTCAGTTTAGTTGATTATCATTAGAAACAAGTTTTAATTATTAAAAGTGGATTTTTGAGAAGAAAATCTGTGAGTTTGCATGTCACGATTGATCCAAGCATTTCACTAAGAGAAAAATAATAAGTTCTTTGCTATTTACAATACTTGAATTGAATAAAAATGAACTCTAAGGATTTAAGTCCAAAAGAAATGAGATTATTTTTCATCCTCAGGCCAAGACAGTTTTATAGATACAATATAAGCTCTCTAGTGGTTAGTGTAGTGACCTGTTGAAGTTGAAGGACTCTATGCCCTTGTAGTAGGATGCTAACACCTACTACATATGAGTAGGTGTTAGCATATGAGCAAAGGCTTTGGTTCCCAACCCTCATACAGACCGACAGCCATCACAGCGAGGACCCCTAGGACTGTAAACTTCCTCCTATCAAGACAGGCCAATCTCCCACCACATTTCTTGGTTTATAAGTTGCCCTTTCTAATACCTTGCTTAGAAGAAAAAACGTATCCTAAAAATGCCCATACACAGCTAAATTTAGAGGTTGGTAGAGAGAAACCCAATAAAAGTGCTCCTTTGTCAGCCTATTCCAAATTACCCACAATATTATTATAAGTAATATAAACTTGGGAACTTGGAGTGTCACCGACTTGGCTGTCACCCAATCCTGATGTGTGTTTGTTCTTTCCCCAGAATGTCGCGTGGTGAAGTCCACTTCTTACACCAAAATAGCTTCATCGTCCCGCAGAAGCACCACCAAGAGCCCAGGGCCCTCCCGGCGCAGCAAGTCCCCGGCCTCCACCAGCTCAGGTAAGGCTGCCAGTAGCTACCGAAGCAGCTGCCTCATTTCTGACACAGCCGACGGAGTGCCGAGCCAGAGCAGAAGGTGCTCAAGCCGGCGTCTATTCTGGTTTATAATTTTAGAACATGTTCAAGCGTTTGAACAGATTTACCCAAGTCTAGCGTGTTGGCAGTAAGAAAAAAAAAAATATCAAGCTGAGAAAAACTCTCTTAGTGAGACTCAGGAAATGAAATCTACCCGCAAATGGAAGTGCTTCAGCAACTGCTACTGCTTCTCTCTGGGTCTGGAAGTCTCTGTTAGGGCCTCATTCTACCTGTGTCTGGCCTATGGATGCAGTCCAGTTTATTTTTGAGGAACCTGTTTTAACACAATTGTGACGCTGGCCTCAGTTACCTTCCATAGCTCTGGAGCTTAAAAGGGGTGACGCGAACAGGTCATCACTGAAGGGAACATGGCAGGGCCAGTCTCAGTGGCTCAGGTACTGTGCTGCCTGTGCGCTGGGAAAAACCATGTTCCAGCCCACCCTCCTCTTCTTTGGTCATTTAAATTAATTTTTGTTGGTTATTTATCATAATTTATTATTGTTGTTGTTGTTGTTTGACAGTTTCATATACTTACATATGAATTTTAGTAGTTTTCATTCTATGTTTCCTTTGGTCTTAAAAAAGACACAAGTCAGTTACAAGGTGTTTGCTTTTGGTTTCAAGTATAGGTCTGAGTCATTATGGAAGACAGTTACTGATTGAAGAATATACACTTTTAAATGGGAGTTATCGAATGATACATTTCATTCTGTGCCTATCACCTTCTGTTAACCTGAAGGGAGTTGCAAAAAGGTCTAGGATGGTCTGCCTAAGAAGGGACAGTTAACAGGCTAGTTAGACCAACGTGGCACCCTATGACACGTACTTCCCATGGGACTTTTCCTACTACTGCTAGTTCAGATCTCAGACACTGTCTTCTCCCTTGATAATCCAACGGTGACAGTGGTGAGTAGTCACTGCCCTTTCTCACAGTGTGGCCTCCATCATGGTCAGAACTACGGACTGGCTCAGAAGATGGCTGGCAGTTGGGATGAGCTTGCAATTAAGTATTGCTAAATTTAAGTGTAGGGTAAGAACTCCTTGCTTACAGACATAGTTATTTAGGTTGGATAGAGCCCTAAAAATAAGGCTTTTTTGAAAGGCAAGGCTTAAAGTTGAGCGCTCATGAGAGTTACTTGGGACCTGGTAAAGTTTGACATAATGACCCCCCATTCTCCCAGTGCTATGGAGACAGGTCTCTGCTTTAATAGGGACCCAGGTGAGTCCAATCAGAGAGTTCATGGTCACATTTCAAATAACAGTGGGTGAGAGCAGTGGTTCTCAGCCTAGCAACATCACTTCCACCTAAGCCAGGTAGAGGTTCAAGCACCTCTCCAGATCCACTGAGTCAGAAACTCTGGAATGAGACCAAACAGGCTGGAGTTTCCCAAACCCTCCAGGTGATGTTGATGCATACCTAAGTTTAAGAACCATTGGGTCTGGGATAATAGAAAGGAAGTAAACACAGAATGCCATTTGACTCTTGATAACTGAGGGGACAAGATCTGTCTTATTGATCTTTATTGGGCTCACAGGGGTGAATTCCATTTTGCATCCTGCTTGTCTTCAAGTGGCATATCCGTTCCTAGCCCTCACCTGCAGGCCTCTACATAGCTCAAAATGTAGACCAAGGGAGCAGTGAACGGAGTTGAGCATACAGCACCAACTTGTTCCTTTGCATCCTTACAATGGCCCAGTTGTAGATGAGACACAGTGAAAAGAGAATTTTCTGTCTGAAAGAATATCCCTTCCTTGGAATATTGTGGAACTCACTCAGAGACCTCCACAAAATGAAAGCATGATTCTAAAGTTGCATCTCAAACTCATCTGGAAGACTTTAGCTTGCCCATTAATTAGCAACAAATTAAATCCAGCTGCATGCAGAGTGTTCCGCTTTGACCAAAGAACATTCCTCATGTCCTCTAATCAGACGTGGGCATATAATGAACCCCCACAGAACAGGAAGGGAGAGGGCTCCTGCGCACAGCTGGGAATCCACATGCACTAAATCATGTGACTCTGTGTGCACTGTATCACTTAATTCCTTGTTGGTTGTCTAAGTGCTATGAACAAATACTCCTGGCAGAAGGACTTCCTTTGTCATTTTTTTTCTTTCTTGGTCATGCTTATAAATTATTTAAAAAAATACAGTCTACAATGTACATGTCTGATTATTGTGTACATGTTAAAGAATGAAAACAAGGCCTGGGAAATGCCTCAGTGGGTAAAAGTGCTTGCCACCAAGCCCGAGGACCTGAGTTTGGTCCAGAGGATCCACACAGCAATAGGAGGGAACCTCTGCCCTCCATGCATGTCCTGTAGCATCCATGAAGGCACACACACAAACATACACACACACACAGACACAATGTAAAAAATAAAAAATAAAAATAAATAATTCTGTCATGAACAGAATCCTGATGCTAATCATAAAAGTATAAATACAAGCATAATTGTACTTTATTATAACCTCCATTAATCAGCATCTCTAAGGTTTATATTCATTTTAGATGATTATTTCCAAAAACAATTTTGAGCAAATATAAATTTCCATGTCACTACCACCATTTGCAATGATTTCATTCAGAAGTTTAAAGTTCACAGAACACATTTCTCCAAAGTCATCAAGTTGCTTCAAACACACATTTCCATCATCTGCTGTTCCCTGAAACTGTTTTCAGCCGTCTTTAAAACCTACCTGACTGGACCAGCACTGGCTTAGAATTTGTGATAGATCAGCTGTGGTATTACTAGCTACATAAAGGAAGAGCCCAGGTTGTTAGAACAGTGCAGAGGTAGAGCACTTTCCTACCATGTGTGAGATTCTGTCCTCAGCACTGAAAGAGAAAAAGGGGAAGGAAGGGAGAGAGGGAGGGAGGAAGGGAGGGAGGGAAACTGCAGAATACAAATCCACTCTAAACTCATGATTAAAGTTTTTACACTTATCTATAACTTCCAGATCAAATTAATTATATGGCATCAGTTGTGTGGGGGTTTCACATTTATTGATTGATTGATTAATTGACTGATTGATTGATTGATGATTGATTGATTGATTGGAGGGGACTGGCACATGCTTGCCATGGTGCACATGTGGAGGTCAGAGGATAACTTTGGGGGACTGGGTCTGTCCTTCTACCATGTGGGTCCCAGGAATGGAATGCAGGTCATCAGACTTGGCAAGAGCCTTTACCTGCTGACCCATCTCAATGGTCCCAAATCAATTACATTTTGTTTAAATTCAAATGGAAGCATTTCTGCATTATGACTTATAAGGAATGTCATACAACCACATCCTGCTATAATGTATACTTGGATCAAGATCATCACAAGCAATGTCTAGAGCTCTTTCTTATGCCTTGTTATTGAGCCTACAATCTTTCTTGGGATGACCTCAATTTGAAGAGGATTTACAGAAGAGGCAACTCCCAATAGAAGGTATATGGAGTATGTCAATGGTCTCAAGACTCTCATTCCCAAGGACCTGAGCCCAGAGTTCACAAAGTCCAGTGATGTTGCCATTTGCCTGCAGAATGTCTGGGAAGCCCTTCTTTAGGGGCCTTTCTTCTGCCCTGGCCCAAGCCTCCCACTCCCATTCAGCTGGGACTCTTTAAATCAGTTAAAAGAATATTGGGTTATGCCTATATTGATTATAGCACAAGTTTCTTAATCTATCTAGGATTCTTTGTAGATCATAGGCACTAGAGTATGAATGATTTTACTTTAATATCCTATAAACATTGATGTAACCTCAAACTCAATTACTTCTCAGTGAACATTGAACAATCCTTGTTTTCCCTCCCGATACAGTCAGTCTAGCATTTGAAATTATTTTTGCTTCAGTCTTGTCCTTTTTCTACTTCTAAAATGCATTCTTTCTATGTTATTTAGTAATTAGAGCGTGTTATATAGTGAAGATTTGCTCAGTTTGGAGGCCATGTTGCTGTTAATAATTAGTGTATAGGCAGCTTTTCTTTACTGTAAACTAAGATAATAAGCTTAAAAAGGGAAAGGCATATTTTGACTCGGTTTTGGAAGTTTCAGTTCGTGGTTGGTTGATCCTGTTGCTTTTGAACCTGCAGTGAGGCAGTACATCATGGTGGGAGCATATTAACAGAAGAAACTTCCCACTTCATGGCATCCAGAAAGGATCGAAAGATACCCAGCGTTACCTCCAAAAGCATACTCTAGTGCACTGATTTCAATGAGACCTCACCTCTTAATGATTCCACCACCTCCCAATAATGCCACAGGCTAAAGACCACGTCTTTAACACATGGGCATTTGAAGGACACTTTTCCAAACCACAGTATATAGTTTACTTATTTTAAATGAAACAGCATAGTTCACACAGGGCGATTTGATCCTTCTGACAATCCTTCAAAAACAAATAAGAAAAGATACTATTGTCTATAGATTCGAAAATGAGGAAGCAGAGCAAGACTGAGGTCACTGCTCTGGTCAGTCACAGAGATGAGTGGCAATAGAGCTGGTTGATAAGCCACAGGAGACTTGATAGCTGCAACTTCATTTCACTTGTAGGATTTTTATCTCTAGGACACAACTTACCTAGTATCTGGTTTATAATTGTAATTTTCAGCATCATAATACCTTACAACACAAGCCCCAATATTAGTCATCAGCCCCACATTCCAGAATACCCAACTTCATGATACCTATCAGTAGTGACCAGAAGTGATCCTTCGTTAAGTCAGCATTAGAACAAGAATGCTCTTTAAATCTTCTCTGCCCCTTACGTATTCCTCCTCTTGGTACCAAAAGAAGTTGAAAGTGATTCACTAACCCTAGGTTCCCATTTACACATTCAGAAACACCAGTTGCAGGCCCACCAGTATGGAGCATCTGCTAACAATACAGAGATAAAAAGCAGAGCCCCAACTCTCAGACAGCGTAGAGGTCAAGGA